CTCTTCTCGGCGACGGCGGCGCGTAGGACGTTGAGAGTGCCGTCGACGGCGGGGGAGATGAGTTCGGCGTGGGGGTCGCGTGGGTCGTCGAGGGTGCAGGGGGAGGCCACGTGGAAGACGCCGGCGCAGCCCTCGATGGCAGCGGAGACGGCGGCGAAGTCGAGGACGTCGGCGGAGAAGATGGTGAGGCGGCCGGCGCCCGCGCCGGGGAGAGAGAGGAGGTGGGAAGCGTCAGAGGCGGGGAAGACGGAGGCGTGGATTGTGGAGTAGCCCTCTTCGAGGAGGGTCTTCACCAGCCACGTTCCGATGAAGCCGTTCGCTCCGGTGACGCAAACCGCCGGCTTCTGATTATTCTCCGCTGGGTTTGTCATATTCCGATGTGATGAATATTGTTGATCACTGAACTTACGGTGTGGCACTCTAGTGTGGTGGACGTTTTTGGATTTTTTTTTTTTTTTGTTTTTTTTGTTTTTTGGATAACCACGTATCAATTCTTGAATTCCATTTTTTTAGGAAATTGTTACAGTACCGCAGCCCACTTTTTCCTGAATAGATAATGCATGTTTTACTCCATTGGATATGGATGAAAGTGTTAAAAGGCATCTCTAATGCAACACCGTAATCGACGTGTCAATAGTAAGAAAAATACTTTTTAATATAATATTATTTATTGTGTTAAATTTTACATTTTTTTTACTCTTAAACTAAATTTATCATATACTAAGCTTGGCGATAAATTTACCGTTAAGTTTAACATATATCAAATTGGCATTTAATTGTGATTAGTTGATATCTTTATTTTTTAAGAAATGTTAGTATAACTCTTTCAATCACTCTATGCTTTCACAGTTTAAAACGTGGACTCCACTTAATATGATATAATATTATTTAAAAAATAAATGAGATAGTAAAATTCACGTGTTAAATAATAAACGTAAAAAGTGACAGAAATAATTATGCTAGCATTTCACTTATTTTTTCTTTTTATCATAATATCATTATCACGTTAAATTATTTTAATATTAAAAAGATATAAAATAACATATTTAATATGTCATGCTAACATCATTCTTTCCGTCATACTTAAATTAAAATTAATATTAAAAAGATATAAAATAACATATTTAATGTAAAACGCTAACGTCCTCATTCCGTCACATTAAAATTATTTTAAAGACAAATTACACTTGTCCCCCTAAACTATTAGCCTTGTAACAAAATACCCCTTAAAATTTGAAAAATAACAAATTTTCTCCCTGAACAATTAACCGTTAGCACGTGTCCCCTTTTCCCACCCCTTTAGTTAAATTTTGAACGTTTAGTGACACGTGAAAGTCGCTGAGGCATTTAAGTTTTATTATAATATGAAATGATGATTTTGTCCATCTAAGCCCGGCCGTTGACCAGTCAAACCCGCCGTTGACTGACACTGACTAGGATGGGGGTTGGCGGGATGTGTAACAAATCAAAGATCTCGAAGTGAATAACACTTATCTAGGGTCGATTTCTCTAAATGATGTCCGGTTCACCGGAAAATGCCCAAAACTCAAATAGATAGAGGCAGTACATTAGAGTTCCTTCAACGCCGATTAGGGAAGTAATCATGTAGGTTTTGCTCGACTCAGCGAGGGGAATATAATGGTATAACTTGTTGATGAAACGGAGGTCAGATGGCGTTGGAATTCGGTGTGGAGACAAAATGGACCAAAACTTTAACCAACGCTTGTAGGTGAACGGCGGCGAGATTCTGATTCCGAAGGTATTTGTTGGCAGGCTCCATGGGTGGTCGGCGTTTGGTGACGGTCGGCAACCAGATAGTGGCGGCTCAAAGTGGCAGCGGGGCTTGGTTTTTCACGTGCAAAGAAAGAAGAAAGAGGGAAAAAGAATGAGAGAGAAAGAAAGCGAGAGAGGAGGAGAGGGAAATCATCATATGTTTGTTGTGGTCTTGGGCTGGGCTTAGATAGGTAAATCGTCATTTCATAATAAAATAAAAATTAAATGTTTCAATGACTTTTACGTATCACTTAATGTTTAAAATTTAACTGAGGAGGTAAAAAAAAAACGCGTGTTAACAGTTAACTATTTAAGAAAAAATTATTGTTTTTAAAATTTAGAGAACATTTTGTTAGGAGGCTAATAATTCAGAAGCGTAATTTGTCCTTATTTTAATGTGAAAGTGATTCCATTATTGAAACATCGCGAAGTGACTCCATTTTAACCGAAATTTGCATGTTGGAGAGATAGACACATCGACTATCGAGCGGCCATGGGCAAAGCAACCTGCTGCAACTTGCTCTTCTGCTGCATTTCATCAATTTCTGGTTAAAAAGGAAAAAAAAAAAAAAAAAAAAACAATTTTGGTTAAAAAAAAAAAAAAAAAAAAAAAAAAAAAGAAATTCGAGAACTCCCATGAACGCGGTGGCGTCTTCATCGTCATCGCTGGTGTTTCTTCTGCCGCGCGGTGGTGCTGGTGCGGGTGCCGTCAATGGCTTCTGCTTCTGCTGCTTCGGCATTTCCTCCTCCTCTTCGTCGTCGTCGTCGATTTCGTTTTCTAAAACTGTTAAGAAGTACAATTTCATTATAATCATGGCGAAAAGCAAAAAGTCCCAATCTTCAACTTCGTCTCCCAAGGTTAACTCATCTCTGTTTCTCTCTAATGCTTTTGATATTTACGTGTTCGCAATTTCTTAGGTTTTCTTCAAGAAATGAGCTTTTTCTGGTTATTGCAATATTGAGAACCTGTATTTTGATGAAAATATCAAATAAAGATGATTCTTTGTAGTGGAAATTTAGGATCAAAGAAATTTCCTTTTTATTGATGATCGAATCAATTGCAATGGAAAATAATGAATTAGTACTTCCTGATGAAAAGTTAACTTCTGTGGGTTGTATTGGTTAGAGAAATTATCATCCTGTTTCTGTGCCTTGTAGGTTTTGATCTCATCAGAGTTTATTTCCGTGGTTTTTTTTTTTTTTTGTTTTTTTTTTTTGATCTCATCAAAGTTTTTTTCCGTGTTTTTTTTTTTTTTTTTTTTTTTTTTTTTTTTTTTTTGCTTGAAAAGATTAGTATTTACGTGTTTGATATTGTCATTGAGGTACTTGTAGTTCTAAAAAGTATCATCAAGTAATTTATGGCTGTTTTTTGGGCATGAAATGTCTTTTCTGTTCATTTAGCCTTAAAACATATATAAGGAAAAAAAAATTCAAAAAGATAATGTAAAATGAAGGGAAGTTCTTAATGCCTCCCATTTTCTCTCTTTTTCCTTGTATCTTTTCCTCTTTACTATGTTTTAGGTTGAAAGGGCAAAAGAGAATTTTATGTTCAAAAAAGGCCTTAGGTACCTGAAATGATATTGTTTTTGAACTGCAGGATACCCCAATGTGATTATAGAAACACAGAGGTACTAGTCTGATAAAATAAAAAACTACATGGTACAAGACTGATATTTTCTACTGTTTATCGCTAACTACTTTTATAATTTATTGTAGTGGTTTAGTCTATTTAGCGTGTAATTAGCTAGAACTCCAAGTCAATCAAAGTGCATTGATTGTTTATAAAACCATCTATTTTGTAAATCTGTAATGAGTTAACTCTGCAGCATCTAAGCTAATAGGAGATCCTAGAAAACCTCCCCGAAAAAGACAAGCCGTAGCAAGCAAGTTTATTTTTCAAATTATTAGTCAAAATGGAGAAGCGGGCTATTCCTCCTGAAGTATAGACTATAGCCAATCATGAATCATGCAAACTGGCTACCCATTGATTGTTGAGTTATAAATACATAACTACTGTTTGTCATCCAGTTTAGAAATTATTTGATTGGCTTTCTCTTAATAGGGTTCTGAGCCAACTCCTCCGAGGATTACATCAAATGTCAAGCAAAATTTGCAGTTCTTGAGGTTATGGAAGGTGGTTAGCTACTGAGACATGTAAAACATGCATTCAATGATTTCTTTGTCACATCTCATCTGGTAAAGATCTTGTAGGAATTCCAAAAGAGAAAGTCTAGCACACCTAAGCCCGCAACTAGTTACCGCAGAAAAAGGGTGGAGAAGGAAGACCTTCCAGAAGACAATGAATTTTATCGTGATCCTACAACCACCCTCTACTAGTAATACTCTTTCAAGGTTCTTTGCATGTATAGATTCTTATTTTCATCCACTTGTGTCTCCTTGGACAAGTGGCTTTCTTGTTTGTCTGAATTTGCTTTACAGTACAAACCAGGGTTTAGAAACTGCAGTCCCTGTGTTGCTGGTTGATGGGTACAATGTATGTGGCTACTGGGCGAAGCTGAAGAAACACTTTATGAATGGAAGACTTGATATAGCCCGCCAAAAGCTGATTGACGAGCTCGTAGCATTCAGCCTGTTAAGAGGTTTCTTCTTTCTTCCCTTTAGGGGTGCAAGGTTTCATCGTATTTTATCTGTAATCTTGTTTTGAAGCTCATCTGGAAGAGAAAAATGTTTTTTTTTTTTTGTTTTTTTTTTTTTTGTTATACATCTTTTTAAGCTTACAGAGTTTCCATGCGACACCACCACCTCCCCTTCCGTTTTTATTTTTTTTTCTTTTCATTTCTAATCATATCTTTTTCACCTTTGCTTTCGCATTACCCTTACTTTTGATGTAGCTGAGATGAGCACCAATGATGGAGAGCAAATAATAGTAGCAATGATTGATATTGGAAAAAAAGTACTGTTGCTACCCATCTCTTATCAGCTTAAGCTTTTGAGAAATTTGGTAACATAAAGGACTTAAAAAAGATAATTGGCGGTGCCATTTGACTCAAAATGACCTATAAATGTGATCCTGTCAAATTTTCCTGTGTCCGCTTTCATTCTAACACACATAACCGTGAGCCTAGCTTAGGTTGGATAAAGTCTTGCCATTACATGGTATTCTAATAATTACTACGGAAACTCTGATAATATGAAGCAATGTTGTTTCATGATGACTAAATAAGAAAATAATGGCTTCTTGATTCTTTATCTTTTGGTTCATATCTGGATGTAATTGCCTCATCCATTTGTTGCTGAAACATTTACAGAAGTGAAAGTGGTAGTTGTATTTGATGCCATGATGTCTGGCCTCCCTACACACAAGGAAAATTTTGAAGGGTACTATTTATGAACTTGAATTATTATGATTGGTTTTCCTTCCACTAGTCTATAGACCAAAATTATAAGACTTTGTTGTTATAATATGATTGGGGTGTGTGTGGTGTAATTTTTCTTGCTGGTTTCAGTGTCATAATTTAAACAAAATTATACTATTACTCTCAGACCAAAGCAGGACATTTTCTTTTTTTTTATTTCTATTTTTGCTCAACTTTCATTATTTCTAATTTGGTGAGATTCTTCTACACTTTACAGTTTCCTTGATATTCTGAAATTCTTTTAAACTTTCTCATGCAATTTTTTCGCAATATGGCAGTGTTGATCTAGTTTTCTCAGCTGACACATGTGCTGATGCTTGGATTGAGAAAGAGGTAAGAAAAGATCGGAAGCTGTATAATAAAGTTATACTGTCTCTCTAGTCTCTCGTTCTAGTTAAATCGTTAGTGCCCAATTTCTATTCCTCTAAAACATGAGAAAAAACCAATAAAATCATATATAGTATTCTGAAGAGTAAGCTCTTCACATTGTAACATGAATATCTCCTCTAATTGACCTTTCAAGTTTTGAGGTGCACTTTAGAACTTCCATGCATTGCATCAGCTTAAAAAACTTGAGCCTCTTGCTTGAAAATTCCGAGTTAGGTAGATGTGGGCCCGTTTAGTTCATTGATTCGAGTTTTTAATTCGAGTTGAGATGTGATTTTTTGTGAGAGCTTTTTACTGTAGCAAAAAAATTAGATGTGACTGTTTCTGAGAGCTTTTTACTGTAACAAAACTCGAATTCTAAACTCAAATCGGTGAAATGAACGATGCCGCAATATCACCTCAGGATGTACTAAATCCACTATAATGCACTGTTATCTTTAGTATAAACAAAAATAAAGAAAATAAATTTAAAGTCTTGGCCAACTCCACTTCTGTTCTAGACTAGGTTAAGCTCGTTATTCCATTTATTTTGATACTTTTGATCGTTTGTGTTTTTGTAATTGCTTCACCACCATGTCATCTTATGTACTAGCAGGTTGCAGCCTTAAAGGAGGATGGATGCCCCAAAGTTTGGGTTGTTACTTCTGATCATATTCAGCAGCACGCAGCACATGGAGCGGTATGCTTTTTTTTTTTTTTTTTCCTTTTTTTCTCATTGATTGGATTCCTTAAGACATCTTAATATATATATTTTTAATCCTATGGAAATAAAAATCTATCTTTGTCGGGGACTGCAACAATTTGTAACGGTTCAAAAATTACAATTTAATAATTGGATTGTTTATGGATCTTGTGCTAAGGGAGAATTATTATCAGTTTATTTATTTATCTACTTTTTGGTATAAAGTGTAGCTATATAGAATCGCCTAGCTCTAGCTGAATTTATTGTAGTTTCCTTATTTAGGTAGAGTTAGTCAACTCTTTTATTCTTATTTATTCTGTGTAAAGTCCAAACGTTTACAGTATAATTCTGAAAATCTAATGATATAAATGCATTGTACAACATGGAATTGGTATTTAAAGTTTTCTGATTATAAAAAACGTCACTTATTTCTTCCATGCCTCCATGATTGTGCTGTTTTGTAACTTGCACAAAAATTTTCTCTTGTAATTGCTTCTATAGTTCGTCTCTTTGCATTTTTGTGATTCTCATTCTTTTCTGCTTTTATTTCAAACCTAAAACCCTTGTTACCGTTCTTAACATACATGTTTTACTTTCCTTACTTCACTTTTTTTATTTTTTCTTTTTAACCGAAGTCATTGTTTTGCCCATATATCTGTTTCGGTTTAATTCTCCTCTATTTCCTTTAAAGATTTATCCTGTTCTGGTTCAACTCATTTTCTTATCCAATCCCTACTTAATGTTTTTTTTTTTTGCTTCAAGGAAGTTGACTGAGTCTGAGAATAACAAATTCTTTCTTATTGCCACGAGAATTTCATTTTACTTGGACTTTGTGGCAGAGAACTTTCTTCATTTGCGGCTGCCTTGAATTCGTTAAAACATACAGGTGCACTGATTTTAATTTTTTTGTTGCCTTCAGGGAGCTTTTATTTGGAGTTGCAAGGCATTAGTCTCTGAGGTGAGGCATTTAATTAAATGATGCTTTGAATTTTTATCTTGCGCTGGAACTGTTTGGAAGTTCATTCTGATGTTTATTGTCGATACCAATGTTTGTGGTTTAATTTGCATGCCTCATTATTTGTTCCAAAGAACTATGCCAGTGGGGAAGATGCTTCTTCACACAAAAATTGAGCCTTCTTTCCGATATTTGAAAAGGCTTTCAAATGTGGAAATATTTGTCCACTATATCGTGTTTACTTGCGTTAAAAGATGTGGTCACTTCGAATGTAAACACAATAACATTCACTTTTCAGGCAGTTTTTAGATATCAACAGTTTTCTTTAACTTTGTTTCGCCCGATATTTCATCATTGGAGATTGAAGGGAGATGCTAATTTATATTATGAGAAATTTTTGGCCAGATTCACTGATGATCACACACACACACACACACACCACTGTCAAGAATCCCTTTGATTTTAAATTTAATTTACATAAGTTGTAAGTTGTAACATAAATTCTGGACCTTTAGATGAACATCCGTTGACCGGCTAAGATTGGCTCTGAGATTGTTGATGATATTCCCTCTCTTCCTCCTTCTAAACAAAATTTAGGAAAGGAAAAAATAATGTTGCACATGTTACTTGTAGAGATAGAGCTGGAAGGAGAGGGGTTAAGAAGAGAGGTTGGTTCCATAAGACAAGAGGTCTCTGACAGGTCGCTGAATATATCTATATATATGTATATTTGTATATTCACATATATGTATGTATTATTTTTCTTGGCAAGGGAAGAACATAATTCTTTTTAGGTGAGGGGAGAGCACAGAAAGAGCATTCCGATAAAAGCTGAAAATTTGTCAGCAAGTTGTTTGGGTATTTCACACATTTGCTCCCTAAACTTGTATGGCTTTAGCAACTTGTGCCCTGAAGTTTTAATTTTGCAAGTTGCCCTCTCAATTTGTAAAATTGTTGCAGCACGCCCTATTTTGACGATGATTGTGTTAAATTAGAGTCGAAAAACACGTTCAACGAAAAATTATAACATTGTAATTCAAATGTAACACAAATCTTTCAATTCCTCAACTTTTAATCTCTTAAATCTAATAAGAAATTTGAGCAAATTTAGTAAAATGAGGCACATTGCAAGAATTTTACAAGTTTGGGGGGTTGATTGTCAAAATTGAAAGTTTAGGGGGGTAATTTGCTAATCCACGATAAATTCGGGACGCAATTGTGCTAAAAACCCAAATTTTCCAACTTTTAGATTACGACTAAAAACAGATTTTAGGATTAAATCATTAGACCATGTACATAGTAAATTAAAACTTATTCAATATGCTTTCATCAGAAGGTTCAAAAGTTTTGTTACAATTTTTATTAATCAGAGATTCATGATACTAGTTGAATGTATCTGATTTTGCTTGAGGAACAACTAACTGACCGAAATTGAAGTTGATTGTATGAATTTCCATGAACAAATTAATAATTTTGTACATGAATTGAAGCAGTCTTTTTTTATGATTTCTGTATAGATTAAAGCATCAAAAAAGGAGGTCGAGACTATGCTTCGAGAACATAGGTTCGTGCTTCCTACCTCGGATGTCATTTATCTTTTTTTTTTTTTTTTTTTTTTTTTTTTTTTTAAA